CGTGGGGCTCCGGGCTCTGGGCTGCGAGCGCGAGAGGCGGCCCCGGGCCGGACGCGGCTCCCCCCGCCGCCGCCTCCTGCAGCGGCCGCCGCGCGACTCCCGCCGCTCTGCGCACTGGACGGGGGCAACTTTCCCCCTCCGACTCAACTCGCAGCGTGGGTCTCCCTCGCCTCGCCGCCCCTCCTTCCGAGCCCTCCCTTTCGAGTCTTTCCTTGTCTCCACCACCGCCAGGCAAAATATTGCTACTTCGCAGCTCCAAATCTGGTCCCCTTTGAATAGATTATTTATTTTCTTTGGGGGGAAAAAAAAAGCATGAAGTCAAAATGATTTTGCATTTAAAAAAAAAATACACCAGAAAAAGTGTGCGCCTTCATGCAGCTTTGGTCCATTGCGGTCCGACCATTAATCACTTGGATGAAGTTGTATGCTTCAAATAAAATGTTTATTCACCACTCCCTTAAAAACCTGCTACCAGTTCTTCCCGTCATTTAGCTGGAGATAACGGTTTAACTGGAATACTTTCTTGGAGGCTAGAAAGTATCAGTAGTTTTCCTTCTCTGCTCGCGAGATCAGAATTTATTTCCCACATGACACCCTTTCTTATTGCGGTATCTAACGGCAATAATACTAACTATTTGATCTCAGAAGACTCTTAAATGCATCTTTTATGTTGAAATGGTCTGTTTGGGATTTAGGCCTAGCATTCATTAATAATGGATAGCAGTTGTTTTTAGTTACTGTAAAGTTGGGGCTCCCCCTCAACAAACTTTCAGGGTTCCTATTTTAGTAACTTGTGGAAGTTGGGAATGAAACTTTTCCAACCACTTTTGGCAAGGTTCACAATTGCATATGGATAAGATGCAAAGTGCAAGATAATTTGAATGAGTTGCCGACTACAGTGAAAATGCTGAGATTCTCAAAGACTGAAGTTCTAGCTGACAAAAGTTTGCAACCTTCAGAACTTGTAGATAATACTCATGTGCTGCGTTAGCGGGAAAGGCTCCTAACAGATCAGTGTCTTCTGAAATGAACTCTGAAAAGAGCAGCTCATATTTGGGGATCGTGCATGTATGAGAGTACCTGTGAATCCGTGCAGGCCCAGGGGGTAGATATTTAACAGAGTTAGCTTCTCTGGATTCATGAGCTATTATCACATTAACAAAGTTCACCCCCCACCCCCCATGCATTTGGCAGTGGGTTTGATACTTTCACTAGGCCTTCTTGTGGAAACACTGCTAAGAGAAACACTTAATGTATCAGTTTGTGAGGAAAATGTATACTAAATAGTGAATGAGGGCTCATATATTTTATGAGTTCTTTTTAAAATTGGTTTACAGTTTATTTAACTTACTGAAGTATTTATGAAGCTTTAAGGACAGTTTTAGAAAGGAAAACTTAGTTTAATGCTCATTGAAAAACATTTTTGGAAGCACAGAGATACAAGTTCTCTAAATGAAAGGACTAGCTTTGTTTACTTAGATACAATTTTTAAAAAATTACCAGGAAAATGTCAGATGTCTTATTTCAACCCACATGGGCCTAGCATAATCAAGTCACAAACCTGGCCATGTAACGATAGCCCAGCAGAAATTAATGAGTAGTCTCCAGAAATATCAGCATTCAGTGATTCTTAAACTTGGCTTACTTTCAAATAGATCAACATTTAAGGTGCTGATTCAAAGTCATGCTGCTTTTGAAACAGGTTTTCAGGTTTTATTTTATTGGTAGCATACAACTTTCTCACAGAGTACATACTGAGCATTTTCTTTGTTTTTTCCCCCCCTGCATATTTTGAGATATTATTACAGAGCCTAGGACCAGATGAGCAGCAGTATAGTATACGATTAAAAAAACCCCCACCTAACAATCAGTGTTACCCTTGGACACTTCCTACAAGCTCGTGAGAGTCTTTAGTTTTGATGTTTTGAAATATGTCTAATCATGAATTGAGGAAGATATACTTTTAAAAATTACCTAGCATTTTAATTGTGCCTGAATGAGTGAAGTTATAAAAAAATTATTGTGCACGTTTGTTGGCACATGCTTGAAATCTTTGGGGAGTAATAAGTTGTAAATATATTTGATACAAAATTGGGGCCTTAAATTATTTTAATGACCAGTTGACCTAGCAGGCCTCATTTAAGGATCTTTATAATGAGATATGTGGGCATTTGGTTAGCAGGTAAACAGTCCTCTTGAACATGAATGAGCACAATTTATAGTTTTTTGAGCAGTATTTTTGGAGTATCTTTGAATACTTAGAATGCCATGTTAAAATGTTTGTTTAAAATGTCTATTAGACTAACAGAGCTTTTAAATAAGATTTCAACATAAATATGAATTTCTTGGCACTAAGTTATTCTTTGAATTATAAAATGGTGTTGAGACTTTAAAATGAATCCTCCTTTTGGTGAAAGCTCACTTTGTAGTTGAAGGCGGACTCTGGGAGATCTTTGCATAATACCACTGAGCCTAGCTCCCCAGCCTGTCCTGTGTATACAAGAAAATCAGTCAGTGTGAAGGGCTGTTTCAAACATAAAATTTATATATTTTTAGAGTATTTCAAGGATGAGCTCAGAATTTAGTAATGTTAAATGCTTTGCGGTTTGGCCTGTACCTTAGCAGATAAACTGTGACTTGAAATACCCACTCCTCCCCATCAATTTTTACTTCTAAAGTATGAATAAAAAATATTCTAAAAAAAAAAGTCATAACATTTTAAAATATTAATGGTTTATGGTAAAGAATAATATACTCTGTATTTTTCTCTCTACTTGAAGAATACATGTTGTAAAAACTGATGACTTCTTTTTAAGACCTTTTTATTGAAAAAGAACAGTTTTCAAAACTAAACTTCAAACAGAGCTTGAAACTTTTGCATAGAAGAAAAAGATAAATGTCTTAATTATGTGATATACTAAGTATTATATTATTATATACTTTTAAACACTAGATATATGTAGTGTTTAGAAGATTGCAGTTCACAATGATTTTATCGATTTTACCCTCTTTAGTTTATATGTGAATAGTTAGAAATTTAATAATTTCTGTAATAGTAATCATATTTTACTTGTGTTTACTACATAAATATTTTGATAGGTATTGTGCTCGGGAAAAATATATTTTATAACATCTGTCTGTTTTACGTTCTTAAAAAAATCATTAAATATCTCTTTGGTTTTCCTGTCCTTATTTATTTGAAAGTAAATAATTTATCTTTTGGGGGAGGTTGTGAAGCAGAAAGAAATTATGTAAGATTAGTGTGAGTTGGTTAATCAAAAGTTAAATGCAGTCAGAAAGCCTTTTGGAGGTTACTGTTTAATTTTTTAATTTAATTTTCTATTTATACTTCCTAAGAAAATGCCAGGTATAATAATCAAACATTTTGAATGAAACATGAATAAGAATTTAGTGGTTTAAATGAAATTAAATTTTCAAATGAATGTGAAGGGGCAATCATGAGAGTTTTCCTGGAGTCTTGTAAGCATTGAATATTCTAGGTTTTCCAGTTCCCTTTGAGAAAATACTGAGGATATTCTTTTTAAAATGAAATAATTCTTCTGTTTTTACAGATTATTATTATTGAAGGATTTTTACAATCATATGAGGAAATAAGATATATTTAGTTGCCACAGTGTAGTCGCAATGACGTCTTGTGTTTACTATATAGTGTGTATGCTTTTGTTTGTTTTTTTCCCCTCTCTTCTTTTTCCTTTTTGATTAATTTCCATAATTTCAGCAATTATGCCTTAGACATAAATATTTTATTTTAGTGTAATAAATATGAAGTTTATTATTATTTTTTAATGGACCTGCCAATTTTTTCCAAGTTTTTTTACACCCCCCCATAAAAAATGTACAATTAAAATATTTAAAAGCAGAATTCAGATATTACCAAAATGAGAAGTAAACAGATCAGAGTCTTCAGGCAATATTTTCAGAGGGGAAGGCCTTATTTTCATTGATTGTGGAGATAAATTTTGCTCCTAGAGGTCCATAAACATTGACTGGCATCTAAATGTCTAGGATTTGCCAATCTGGCGGCTTGGCCCTGGCTGTACTACAAGTGGTGAGGTCAAAGCTGGAGCAAAATTAGATATGCCTTCTTTGAAATAGGGTTAAGGTTATATATTATTATAGTGTTTAGGTAAACTCTACTTGTTATCCAAAGGCTTTGGGAACTAGGCCCAACAACAGACTTAGGACATTATGACAAACATATCCAAACATTTTTTTTTTTTTTTAATTTTTAGCAATATTGTTCTTCAGATCATGAGAAATGATACGGACATTTTTCTTTTATTTTTTTTCAACTTTCAGTAGATATTCTGTGAGTGATTTGGACAGTAAATACAACAGTTGAATCAAATTTCAAGTGAAATTGTAAATTTTTAAAAATTTACTTCTATTACAAACCTTTCCCCCCCATTATATTCACGGGTTGTATTTTTCCCCTTATTCTCCTCAGGATGAATTTCATCCTTTCATCGAAGCACTTCTGCCCCACGTCCGAGCCTTCGCCTACACATGGTTCAACCTGCAGGCCCGAAAACGAAAATACTTTAAAAAACATGAGAAACGTATGTCAAAAGAAGAAGAGAGAGCCGTGAAGGATGAATTGCTAAGTGAAAAACCAGAGGTCAAGCAGAAGTGGGCATCCAGACTTCTGGCAAAGTTGCGGAAAGATATCCGACCTGAGTACCGAGAGGATTTTGTTCTTACAGTTACAGGGAAAAAACCTCCATGCTGTGTTCTTTCCAACCCAGACCAGAAAGGCAAGATGCGAAGAATTGACTGCCTCCGCCAGGCAGATAAAGTCTGGAGGTTGGACCTTGTTATGGTGATATTATTTAAAGGTATTCCTCTGGAAAGTACTGATGGTGAGCGCCTTGTAAAGTCCCCACAGTGCTCCAACCCAGGGCTCTGTGTCCAGCCCCATCACATAGGGGTTTCTGTTAAGGAACTCGATTTATATTTGGCATACTTTGTGCATGCAGCAGGTAAGTGTGATGATGAGACGTTGTTCCACTCTCTTACTCGTGTTTCTTTCCTGTTGACCTCTGTCTATGCTGGACCATTCCTGAACTTCGTCAGTTACAGGCCACATACTTAAGCAGCGTGGTTTCAGAGACACTCCAGAGTCAGAAGCCAAATGTCTGAGGTACCACCCTCACTCAGGTGGAAAAGTAATAGCTTTGAGAGAATTCTGACTAATTTGGTTTCTTTTGGTAAGTAGTGTTATTGGAAGTGTTGCAATCCGATGTATATAAATTTAAACCATGTCTTTTCATGATGAGTGAGGGTTGCTTCATGAAAACCCTCACAATAAAGAGTGCATTTTAACCAGCAAGTAAGCCTGTGAAAATGCCTTTAGTTTGACAGTGAGACAGAATTTTTGGTTGCTTTTCTTCTGGGAGTGTTTATTAACCTGTGAGGCCTTTGAAAACCCCTTGCCAATAAAAAAGAAGTATGAGGTAAGGGTACTATCAAATTGCTGATCATTTATAAGAAAAAAATATTTACATAAATATACTAACTTAATAGTTTTGAATTTAGGAATTTTTAGGTTTGTGTTAATGAAAACAAACCAACCAGTTATCTGAGTACTTGATGGAGAGATTAATATTAAAAATAACCATGCTGTACCTTACATGAACACACTAGGAAACCCTTATCGACAATTTATTTAGCGTTTGGCTTTGATTGTCACAAAATTCTTTATTGTTTCAAGACGGTTTTCAAGGAATATTCTACCAGTGCACGATGTACTACTGTATTTAGAATATGATGCAGGATAAAAGTATTGAGAAATGGATAAAATGATGCCTTTTTATTTTACTTTGTTCCTTTAGTCTTGTTTTAGACAAAGGCTCATTGTGTTATGTGAAAGCTCAGATCTTGTGTAACTTGTTGACTTTTTATATGTACATATCGGTCTTGCTAGATTACCTTCATGGCAGTTACTTGAGCCAGATGGAAGAACGAAGGTTGTGGAGTCCTACCAGTAGGTTGCTGTGGATTTATATTCTTAACCTATTTTTTTCCACAAAGGATGATATATGTACAGTCGGCTCTGCATTAATTTATAAAACAATTTTAATTATAAAAAATACTGCATAATTTTTTAAGAGTACAGATGATATTCTGTTCTCTATTATTTTTCTGAATATATGTTTTAGAAAAAGAACTTTTGTTATCCATCTGTCCTTAACATAAGAAACCAGAGAAATTAACTTTGCAAGCATGTCACATCATCATTTGCATTCAGTTGGCAGGGGATAGACGAGTATTTCAGAGGATGTGATCTCTAAGTTTTTCAAATATTTGGGTTTTCGAAAATGTACACTTAATGATAAGGAGTGCCTGTTGCTTTAGTTAGTTCGGGATAGAGTAAATTAAAAAAGGCAAGACGACGAATATGATATTTTAAAAGGAATAAGACCCTTCTCCCAGCCATTGTTGAAAAAAGCAAGGTTAAATTTTTTTCCATTTATTTATATAAGGGAAGATTTAGATTGAGAAAGACAAGGTATAAAAAAATATGGCTCTTATAAGTGCTTTCATGGAACAACCTTTAAAATCTTTTGGATGTTTAAAAAAGCAAATCATTTATAAGGTATCCTAGTTGCTTTAATTGTCCAGCATAGAAACTTGAATGAACTAACAAGTGAAACAGATCATGGTGTGTGTTACCTTCCAAGGTAACACCTGAATAATGTGTCTTTTAGGTTTTTATCAGTGTGGATCAGTATGCATTCTAACTTTTTTACTTAAACATTTTGAGTACAGTTAAAGAAATGTGACCTTCCTCGCTGCTCCCACTAAATATATTCTTTTCTGTTTTATACTATTGCTCCAAATTCTTGAGCGGATGTATCTGTTGGTTGTTTTAATGCCTGAAGGATTATATTGTTTAAATGATAAGCGTTGTTTAGTAGCGTCCGCATCCTTATTGCTTATAAAAGATTTATTGACAGCAACATGGATCAGACTACCTTTCGGTTTGGTTTTCCTGACGTATCCCAGAATCCCTTGTTACGCCTGAATACCAGCCAAGTGTTAGGCCATTGGTTTTCACGGGACCGCAGTAATGGCTGCTTCTCTGTGTGAGCAACGGGAAGATTGCAAAAGAAAATATTAAAGACCTTTTGTCTGAAAAGATTTCATATTTGAGTTAAGTGATTTAGAGAGACCTTTTCTTTTTGAAAGGGAAGCTGCCAATACAAATATGAGGTAGATCAGTCAACCTACATGCAACTGACTTGACAAGCATCTGTTATAATACTAAAGATTTGTAAACACTAAACAATGTTTTTACCTCCTTAAAAGTTTTTGAGAACTTGCCAGTATTGGCAGGAGGCAGAGGCTCTGAAACGTGCTTCCAGATACATGCCAAAACCATTGTGGCCTTTTCACCTATATTTTCCCCATTTTCTTAAAATACTTTGTTTTTTTTCCTTTGGAAGGGCAACTTCACTTTATTCTTCCTGGCTGGCCACAAAAATGAGATTCTCGCCCCCCCCCCTGAAAATGTATACAGTAATTAGTACTTAATGCATAACCTTTTTTGATAGAAAATTAAAATTTTAGGGCACGCATGTAAAAATACTAGAAGCTAATACAGAATCAGCTGTTGTTTCTTTTTTTAAAAAAAGCAATGTTGAATTATTCTGTGACTTTGTGAGGTGCTAAAATAAAGTACATAAACTACATTTCAATTCTTTTGCCCCTCAAAATATGTGGCTTCAGAACTGTGTAAATTTTTGTGGCCAATAGATGAACAGTAACAATGTAATGAAATCTGAGAGATTCTACAAGCCTGAGGATTTCATCTCTTAAAAGTATAAAAGAGTCAAATCAGTTTAGGCCCTTAATTTGGTCTCTGAGCTGTTCTTCTCATGTATCATATCACATGTTGGAAATATTAAGGTGTTGTGGCAAATGGTTTTCTTTGTGGGCATCTTAACAGTAAAGATAATTTATGGCCAGCCTTTACCAGATGATCTGTATCAGAATCTACAATATACCGGCACGTGGCAAGGTCACAATTTAAGTTGTTAAGGTCATAACCTTAGCCACCAGGCATTTGACCTTTTAGATAAAGTTAACCTTTGTTCATTAGTAGGCACTCAACCGAGAACTTTCTGGAGAGTTTTTTCTTTTTTTAAACTGCTTCTGTATAACTTCTGTTAATGTAATCAGATTCTACATAGAGTCTCAGGTTAGTTACATTTCAGAAGGGGTTAGATTTTTTTTTTTTAAGGATTCCTTTTCAGATAGAGGCAGGTTGCAGAACCCAGGTCATGACAGTGTCTCAATGTCTTCACGAGAGTTATTGTCTGCTGTAGGGATAGAATAAAGGCTCTGGGGCAGCTGTGTGGAGACAGTTAAGGACTAAAATGACACACATGGAATTCTGTTTAATTCATCTAAGGCCTCTGCTAGTTTTTAAGTGGCATTAGTCAGAAGAACTAAATCACAAATGGGCATCTCCACCTTGTGCTGATGAAGGATTTTTCTAAGACTGGAAGTGTTTTTAGCCAGTCTAAATTTTCACTTTGAAACACTAATAAACGCCTGGAAGTTGTCAGGTAATTGCTGTAATTGTTAATTAGCCAGTGTCAGAGTGAATTGAATTTGTCCAGATGATGGCACGAGGACTTGTTAGTTTTAAGGTAGAGAGCGAACACTTATGCACAGTAATCTGTTAGGTCAATAGTTGGTGATTGCTTCCCTGCTATCCCCCATTTCTGCTCTCCTTTTAGTTCTGCTGGGACTAGAAGCAGCATAGATCCGTCACTCATTGAAAGAGCTGTTGCAGAGTGTAGGAGTCCTTATACCTGTGCTGTAAAATGTGCGGCAGTATTACTGATTACCACATTACTTGTGCCATATTGTTCGCTTAATTATGCTGTCATGAATGCTCATTTAAATTTATTTAGATTACTGCTAGTTTTGCACCACTATTCCATGTATTATTTCATTTAAATCAAAAGAGAGATGCTCCCATTCAGGTGCATTTGAGTTTTATTTTGCTTCGTGATTGCCATTCCTTCATATAGTCCTAGAGAAAGCCGTGATGTGCAGATAGACCAGATGGTCATGTTGACAGATTGAGAATTCACTTCCTCCTGCTTCTGAGCAGGTGTAAGATCAGGAATGTCTGTGTATGAGCGTGTGTGTGCTTCGGGTGCATGCATGTGTGCGCACATCCAAGCTGCACACAGCGTGATGTTTAGAGTGGGGGCGTGATTATCTTTAAGAGAAAAAAAAAACCCACCACCCTAGAACTTGAAATACTGTGTAACTATGTTTGGATAAGATTACTGGTGCATATAGAATAATTATTGGAAAAAAATTAGTCAATAATTATAGAATTTTTTACTAAGTTCATTCATTGTGGTAATTTACTAATTTTTAGTTAACTGTCTACATTAGTTTAGGGCTGTAAATCCAAGTAGACAGTATTTTTTTTTTTTAGCAGTTATGCATGTATGTGGGCTTGTATATACTCCAGCCTAGAACAATGCATTATGTAGTTAAACATCTTAATACTTTAATTAACTCCCTAATAAAAAGTTGTACAGTTGGTTCCTTTCCTTTGAGTTATACTAATAGAGTACAGTTGGAAAACGATTAAAAGGGAGGTAGAGGAGTTAAAATTAAGAGAGTTTGTTCTACCCCTATCTCAGATTTGGACTCTAACCTTAAAGTCAAGATGGATTTTGTGACTGGTTAATCTAGTATAAATTATTGGAATGTGTATAAAATTAACAATTTTATATGTTTATTTTGAAACTATTTTAAAGAGCTAGAAATGTGATCAACAAACTTGAGATAAATATGATTTTCCTTTGTACTTTGAAGATGATAACAATGTCCTTTACCCAGAATATAGTGAAAAAGATGGACGTTTAGAGGCAAAAAGTATATAGGAATAGGGAGAAATAATTATTCTGTAGTAAACCTTTGAATGGAGGTCAGTTCATTTATGACTGAG